ACTTGGCACAGATCTGGCCCCGTGGAAAAGCCAACTAAATATTCATTTTTCCAATAAAGGCCCCGCCCGTTTTCGCTGCTAACTGCGTACTACAAGTATATGTGGAAATATTTTTATTGCATTTCTGTTTTGCTCCCCCATTGCCATTTGCCTTAGTCACATTTCTGCAATTATGACAAATTTATGAGTTCGTTTCTCCCACACGCACACACTCGAAAAGGCACAGGCACCCATTCAGATACAGTGTGTGGTGTGCATGTCTGGGCACTCCTGCAACTGACTTTCTGACTTTTGACGGATTGCGGCAGCCATTTCCTTAGTTTGTTGAATGCAAAAGACGTGAGACATTTGTCAGCTTAAACGATAAGTTTAAATGGCGATTCTGCTTAAAAATACCTCCCTATTTTTACAGCATTATTTTTCGATAAGCTCAATGCACATTCCTTTTACCTTTGTCATTTGTCAGTGTTAGTAACTCGTTACGCGTGTATATTAAAGATTAGTACAGTCGGAGTCCTAGATAATTTTTATTGATTTACTGTACCATGTAGTTAAGATTCAGTCAACTAATCTGTTTTTATTTTATATAAAATAAGATAGGATTGATCATGATTTGATAGCAGTTTTTTGCTCTGTAACCCTTTGTTTTTCCACTGCCTTTCCACTGATTGCAGTTTCTTGTGGTTCTGGGTGTAGGCTTCCCCGGCTGTCAGTCAGTCGCTCTGTCATTTATTCTGCTTAAGGTGTAATTACATTTGCGCCCAGCTGTTTTGCTTCTCAGTCATTACTCATACGCCCCGTGCCCGTCGCCGGGTTGCCTAATCTACCAACGCAGCCAAGATGTCGACACTTTGGCCAAGTCATTTGCAATTGTTAATGCCCCACAAATTGCACATCGAGGGAATGGGGGGCGGGTGGTTTCCGAACGAAGGGGAGCCAAATGGCTTTTAGCAGCACAATTAACAATTAAGTTTTAATAATAACTCAATAAAGGCGAGCGGCAAAAGCGAACGAAAGGCGAGTGCCAAAGCGAAGAAAAATTACTTATAGATAAATTTAAATCGCTTCCTAATCAGAATTCAAGGTTAACATCCATATGAGTGAAATTAATACACACGACTGCGATGCTGACGTCGATGCTGGTGCTGGTCTATGTACAAAGTGCCGAAGGCAGCAATTGCCCCTTGTTTTCTGAGGCTGCGGCTGAGGTGCTGAGGTGCTAAGGTGCTCGAGTGTGTGGCGAGTGAATGTTCACTCAAGGTTACTGCAGAGCCCCTCAAAGACACTCGCTGTACGGATTTTAATTAAATTTTGCCATATTTCTGTGCTGCTCTGCTCTGGTTTTCGGTTTAAAAATAATTTGCAGAAAGTAAAGCGAGCACACGCGAAGGAAATAAGGCAAAGCCAGGGCGCAGGTGAGGCCAAAAACGAAAATCATAAATTTAAATTTAAGCTTGTTAAAAACAAAATGGCTGCTGTTTAAAAATAAATTGCAAAACAGTTGCTGTGCGCTGCTGTTTGCTGCACTCATAAAAAATATTCCCAAGGATTAGAACAGTTTAATCAAAAATTAATTGTTTCGAAGTCCAAGAAAAGTTTTTCAATCTCAACTTTTAGCTGAACCACTCTAAATTTTCTCAACTAGAAAATTATCGACACAAATTAAAAGGCTGATGATTAAACAGCAAAAACTTGTAGAAGCAAAGCCATACAATTATTTTCTAAACTAGTACACTAGTGCAATAGTGTAAATACATTATAATTATTTATTTTCTTTATTATCACAACACGAAAACTTTATACTTATATTTATAGCGCTAGATACAATGGTTTGCTTTTACAAATAATTTGAAGGAAAACTATTTTCAAAAGTTTTAACTGTTTTTTTTTACTAGTTTTTTTCTTGTCTTTTTGTACTTTACAAAACTGCTTCTGTAGACGAAAGTAAATCGAATTTTGCTATTGAAAGCCTTCATTTTTCATGAGTGTAGTAGCTCCTCTGCTGCCAGCTGCAAAATGCGCGCACATTTGTCAAAAAAAGGCCAAAGCAGCTAAGCCAAGGCTCACACAGACACGTGTGCCGCGCCATGTTGGCTGGCCGCGAATGCAGTTGCGCCGCCCTTTCCCTTTCCCTTTACCGCCCGCCATTGTTGTTTGTGTTCCAACTGTCAGGCATTGCGAAAGCTTAATGCCAGCTAACCGCAACGCCGCTCATCCGCACCCTCTCTCCCCAAGCAGCAGCCCCCTCCTGCGCCACCCCTGAATCACCCGCCGCGCTGTCTGCTCTGTGCACTATAATTTGCCTGTTTGCTTTGGCTTTGGCGTTTTTGTTGCCTTTTGATATTATAAAACAAATTAGTCGGAACAAAAACACAAAAAAAAAAAAAACAAAAACTATGCTATACTGTGGGTTGGAATTTGAAAAGCTTATACATGGTAGAGAACATGGCGTGTGCAATTAGCCGCATCTACAAAGCGAATGGTGATGCAGCTCTCAAAGTGTTGGCCCAATTAAGGCGAAAATTCAGGGGAAATTCAATGAGAAGATGCAGCTGGTGGCCCAAGTCGACTCACTTTTTCAGCGGCTTGGTTTTGTCACCGCAAACTGTTGGCTCTGATTGCTTGTCACATTGCTACCGTGGCAGTTTGCGTTATAATTTCCCCTACAGGATAGACTTGTAGCCTTGCCACTCGAGCTTTCCTTTGGCGACCATCGTGAACTCCGTGTGTGTGTGTGAGTGTGTGTTGGAAATTAATAGGCGAGCGTTTAACCACCCATTGCGGTGGAGAGGAGGGGTGGGGGGAATATCGCCTTGGAGCTGTACGGCTTTGCCTTAATGGGAGTGCAATTGCAAGGGCCTTGATTAAAAGGCAGGCGGTGGGGCAACGTTGGCCCTGATTGTCACGGGCGACGGTAAATGGGAAATGGTGAATGCACATAAATCTGCATTTTAAGTAATAACCCGCACGATGGTGGTGACGAACCAACGAGACAAAGGCCACAGCGAATGAATCGGTTCTTTAGTGTGTTTCACTGTAGTTTATATACAGTTTATTCCATTTGAATCGCCTGACGCTCTGACGCGCTGACGCGCTGACGAGCAGTGAAGGTTTATCTTCGATGCATCTGGTAACAGCCGCACGCGCAGCAGTGCGTATGAGTAATGTCAGCTGGATGACATTACGTATGCGCCACGTGGCCGCCTTGAAGATCTCCACTCGATCTAACCCGAGTGCATTCTGATGCGGCACATCACACAGCTGACAACTGACAATAATTGCGCACAATTAGACATTAATTGCATTCGTTCGCAGCCCGGCGATCGTACATTTATCCACCCATCTATATCCATCTATCCAGCTGGCTTGTGTTTTTGCTGGCCAGCGAGATTCGAGATGCAAGATGCGGAAATGCGGCATATATCTTTTCAATTAAGCAGCCACGCCTTGGCAAAATAAACTTTTCCATTGTGTTCGTTTGTGCATTTGTTTGTTTTCACTGCTCAGCCCCAGCCCCAGCCCGAGCCCCCCAAAAACGGTGGGCGTGGCCGGCCGACTCTGACATAAATTCAAATGCGCACTCCCAGCCACAGACACCTTTTTTGGGTCTGGCACAGACGAACGGAGCAGGAAGTTTGACGCTTTGGTCACTTTTTTCGTCTCGGTTGTGCAACAGGTATGAAAAGTGAAAGTGCAATGGCTGCTGGCAGCGAAGATTCGAAAACGTTTGACTAATTGAAACGAATGGAAAATTGATTGGACTTGGGCGAGAATATAAGTTGTTATAAAGACTTCAAAAGTTAATTTATCAATAGTTTCAATACAACGATGACACATTACGAATAAGCAATCGTTTACTGTGTATTCAAAACTTCACAAAAGTTTTCCTTAACCTATAATGAATTATACGAATTTTAAGACAAACAACAAAGGAATGCAACTACAAGCTATAATTTAAAACAATGTCTCAGAGAAGCATGTCTTACTTTCTCGACTTGTGTTTCGAAATAACTTTGCGCCTCGTAGGCAAAACAACAATCTGAATATGAACTCAAAAAATCTCTAGCTTCTTTCAGGAACCAGGAACCAAGCTTTTCTCGCAGTGTGCTTTGGCCTTGACGAAGTGTAAATTAAACATATAACCACCATATGAAAATCTAATCAGACTTTCAAGGTTAACATATTCTGCCGCGGCTGCTGTTCACTTCGATATTTGTTCTTTCCGCTGCCCATTGTTTTTGTTGCCATTGTTGTTGTCATTGCCGACTGGCTGCTCGTTTTAAGGTTTTTGTCTGTTTGCTGTTAAGAGCCCTTAAAAGCTCTAAACGAAATAGTCAAACACACGAGCGGGCGAAAGAGCGTAACTAGTTGGGCAAACAAACGGCAAACGGCAAACGGCAGACTGTCCGCTGGTTATGGCTAAAAGTTGGGGACGGGCGGGCGTTTCTGTCGGCTTTCAGTTGCGTAAGTTTCTGTTGTTTCGGTTCTCGATTTCAGGCGGAGGCCCTTAAAGTTCGAACATAATTAATTAAAGAGCCAAATGTCTGAAACTCTGGCTGGTTGGGAGTTATTGATTTTGCTGGTCGGTCTGCCAGCGAGTTTGTGTGTGCTTGCCAAGTTAACGAGCTGCTGACATTGCCCTTTTGTGTGATTGATGCGCTGGCATTCGCCTAGCCGAGAATCGTTTTCGACATTTATTTGATTTTTTATATTTCTTTCGCCGGCAGCACATTGCGTATGAGTAATGGACGTAGTGTGCGGCGTGCGGCAGTGGGGGCATCAAGCATACGCCGTGTGGCCGTGCCAAGAACCGACCGACATTTACATAATTATGGCAATTAAAATCTATACACAAAGTTGCAATTAAAATGCAACAAATGTCACGCTCCACCGCCAGCAGCCTAGATTCCTCTGACCGCATTCCCTGAGATACATGTCTAGATAATAGATTCTAGATGCTAGATTCTAGATTATAGGGGGATGTGGATCGAAACGCTCACCTTTTTCTTGCGCTCCTCCTTGAAGTCGATGACAATGCCCTCGTCCGACGTGGACACGGACGTTGTGCGTATGCGTGCGTTGGCCGCATCGTGTGGCGACATTATGATGTGTGGGCTGTGGTGGGCGTGGCCGTCGTCGCTGAGGGGCGGCGAAGCGGAACCGGAACTCCAGGAGGCCGACGAGCTGCTGCCGGGACTCGAGCACTTGTCGGCCATGGCTAAGAAATTGGCAAAATTAATTGTCGCTCTAAGACGCGTGGGTCAAAAGGGGACGGGGACGGGGACGGAGGTTGACCTACCGCCATGCGGGCTCTGCAGCTTCATCGAAGACAGAATCTCAGCGGCACGGCATGTCTCCTCGTCCTTGTTCGGATCGCTGATGTAGTCCTGGTGATCGCTGGGCGGACGTTTCCGTGGACTGCAAAATAAATATAAGCAAATAAATTGATAAGTCGATTTTTAAAAGGGGAACAACTCAACTAATTTATTTAATACAGAATCTTAAATTAAACTTACAATAAAAAAAATTGAATTTTAATATTTTTTAAATTACCTATCCAAGCGCTAAAAGATAAACTTATGATTATGATTCAAAACAAAGCAATACTTAAGAAATAGCTAATAAAATAATGGTTGACCTTCAATAAAAAATTGATTATGCTGTTAAATTTAATATTTCTTACAATTTTGTTTCTTATTAAAAAAATTTAAATAATTTAGTTGAAGGTTATATACTAATTATTTTGTAAATTAGTCAAGTGCTTTATCTGTGTTTGAGAGTTTTAATAGGACGATTATTACACAAATTGATAGAATAAATAAAACTAGAAATATTTAAATCTTAACCGTATGTTTGAATGCATTTATGTAAAATATTTTTTAGATTTATTTTCCTTAATTTAGTTAGACAACTTATAACAATACTAAAAACATAGTTAACCTAGTTTGGTACCACAAAGCTTTCAGGCCCATCTCTTTTCAGTGGCAAATCAATTTCAACTCTAAGCATTGACCCAGTTCTGATTCTTGATTTTATCAGCCACCCACACAAGCACTCATCTACATATAGAAACTGAAAAACTGGCCGATAGAGATATAGACACGCAGGCATCGGCAGCCTTAGCTTAGACATCAAAGCGGCCGCATGTCGTTGTAATTTGCACAACAACAATGCCACGAGGTCTTTTCAACGATAATCGCTTCGAGCGGCATTTCAATGCAAAACATCGCAAAACTATTTTTCCATTTAACTAATTTCTGCGGCCACTGAATTCCACTGCCGCCCATTGTGTGTGTTATTGTTTCGTCATTAATTGGCCTCCTTCCGATGACCTCACATATTTGAAGCGACGTCAAACGATTTTCAGTGGTCGTGTAGATTTCCCAGATCCGCTGGACGACTGGCTTTCCATGCAGTTTGGCTTTAAGCTAACCTTGGCGCAACCTTCGCTGGCAAAATCAGGCAAAATCCCTTTGAACAGCGTTTGTTCGCTCAAATAAATTCAACAAAGGCAGCCGTCGACAATGGAGAATGCATCCAGGGACTGCCAAGAGGGGGTGTTGACCATAAAGACGCGACACTGTCATAAATTCAAAGCATTTGAAATGGGAAAACTGATTTGGCATACCCGCCATAATCAAGCTGAGTGCTGCCACTCCGGGCCATCCGATTGAGCCAAGTGCCGGCCATAGATACGTCGTCATGGCCACCACCACTTGTCCCAGGGATTGCGACCAGTTCAACACTTGCTGCGTGCCAGGATTAAACCTTGCCAAGTGCACGCGCTGCCTGCCAATGAAGTACTCATTCTCGGTCAATAGGGAGTTGAATATGGATGTGGATACGGATTGAGAGCTATTATTGATGCTTAGATTTAAGCGGCTTATTTGCAACATCCAGGGCTGCGGTAACTCCCCTTTGCTATCTTCCGGCTAACATCTGCTTCGGGTTAAAACCAAAACGCTTAACACAAAACACAAACACAACTCGTGCTGCAAACTCCATTGTGAAATGGGAAACACCGCAGGCTGTCGTGGCCAAGACTGCACTTAGCCGAATACAGCTCCTTGGCCAAACAGCGGGCCATAAAACTTTATTACTCGGCTACCTGGTTTCAGTCTTTTGTCTTAAGCGCTGGCACCTTTTGCTTTTGCCGGGATTTCCGTCCCAATTAAATTTGCTAAACTCAACGATAAATTTCTGCCGCAGATCGTTGCTAATCGCATAAAAGTAAATTCGCGCATAAATCGACATTTCCCCAGCCGTGGAGAATCAGTGCTGTTTTTTCTTAGTTACCCGTTTCTATGCCGGCCGGCAAAAGGCGCGTGCCTGATGGAAAAGCGAGCTAGAAAATGGTGGTAAATGGGTGGGGGGCTTAAGGGGTTGGAGGGGTGAAGGGGTTTCGACCATCACGATGTGGCCATTTAATGCTTTCCGCCCATTGCGCAGCGCTGGAAAAACTTTAATAAACTGCAAGCGGCAGTTGCAGTTGCAATGTTGATGTTGCATTGTGATGCTGCTCTCTGAGGTCCAGCTAAGTTGCCTTTTCGGCCTACTCGCTGCGTGGCCGCACGTAAATTGCCCCAGAGCGCGTGATTGAAATGCGATATATTCGCGCCCGATTTCGGGGCCAGTCTTTTCGAGGCACATTTCCCAGGCTGGGAAATGTGCGGCAAACAACGTTGCTGTTGCGCTCGGCTCTGGCCATTATTTGACCACGTTTTACAGGCCGTGCAATCAGCAACAAAGTCGGGGAGTCGAGGAGTCGAGGAGTCGAGTTGGAGAAGAGGTGTTGAAAGCAAAATTACATTGCAGTGTCAGGAAGTAAGAGATGCGAATATGATATGCTCCGAACTGAGGAGTCGAGTCGGTTGTTGTTTGCATGTGGCGGCGAAATTAGTGGAAATTGCATGAAAATCGCTGGCTGCAGCTCCATTTCAACTGGATTTTTGTGCGGTTTGAAGTTAGCAGTTAGCAGTTTATTGTTTGCAGCTTGTAGCTTGTAGTTTGCAATTAAAGCTTATTGAATTAGCCACGTGCTCGAGATTCGCTTTTGTTTTCGGCCTGGGCCGGAAAACTTTCACCAAATTGCCCAGGGAAAGCGCAAGTGCGAGTTAACCGGAGACAAAGCGACTCCGACCTGCCTGGCCTGCAATCTGACAAGAAAAGGCCCCTTTTAGATATCGCCAATCAAAATCTAAACAATTTTCAAGTGTAATTTATACGCAGGCGAAAATAAAAGCCCACGACACACAAAAAGAACCAAAGTCGTTGGCTGATTTCAGTGATTAGAGCGCAGGGAACAACAACCACAGTTGTTGTTTATTTTTTGATTTTTACCCCCAACTTCATTGAGGTTTTTTGTGTGCCATGCGAAAGAGCTTTTGGCTTATCAGTTTGCACGATAAGAGGCAAGTTTCTATGGCACATATCTGCGCCTATTCAAGCCAATGTCAACAGCAACAACAAAAGCGGAAATGTTCGTTGAAAAACGAAAAGTAAAACCAAGAGCAAAGAAACCAACAGCCAAGGTAAATACGATTTGGACAAAGGGAAAACGTGTAGTGACAAGTCTTTTGGCCCAAAAATGGATCGATGCTAACAGATGGGCGTATTTATGACATCTAGACAGGAAGCGCACTGGGTTCGGTTTTAAACCAGTTTGCAAGCGGTCACGGTGCGTATGCGCAATATTTTGAAAATCTTTACACAAACCATAAGCGAAATAAAATCAAAACAAATCAACACGCACTTTTATTATTCACTATTTTTGTGTCTACATGTTTTCTTTTCGTTTCTTTTCGTTTTTTTACAATTTTTTTTTTTTTAGCTTATATTATTTTGCCTATGACGTTGTCAGACGCAAAATATGTGTGTGTGTTTTTATTATTTTAGTTTATTTTTGGACAGGCCAAAAAGCAGACAAGTGCCTGGGATTGTTGTTAGCTGTTGTTGTTCAAGGTGATGTTGCTGTTGTTGTTAGTTGTTTTGCATTGCGTGAGGTGAGTCAATTTGCCCCTCCGCCTTTTCTGGGAGTTTTTCTCACATGGCGCATTTTGAATTCGCCTTTTGTTGCTGCCTCTTTATTTGTTTATTTTATTTAAACAAGGCGACCTCTTTTTGTTGTTGTCCCTGTTAATTTGGAGGTTTCATTTTTGTAGCCCTGCCCGCCGTTGACACACATAATTTTTGTTTCTTTTTTTTTTGTGTTTTTGCTTCAATCTTCTCCCGCCCGTTTCTTCTCGTTTTTTTTTTTTGCGAATGCGAACAATAAAATTGAGTTAAGCAAACAAAAGCCCGACTTTTGGGGATGCAGCCTTAAAGCCAAGTAGCGCCAGTCAAGACGGAAATTTGTGGAGGTAAACAAATAGCGAAATTCCAACATTTTTGCAAGTAAAATACGCGGCACTAAATCGAAAACAAGCACTGTGCGTAACAGTAAAATGTGTGCGTTTTTTTGGGGGGAGGAGAAGGTAGTTTATTTGGTAGTTTTTTTTGTACGTTTTTTTTTTGTGCTCTTCGTCTTTGCCGGGCGCTTTATCACCCCATTTATGGCAGTGTGCGTGAGTTTTTTCCCGCTCGCTTATGTTTACTTTCGGTTTATTTTGATTCGGGTCTCTGCTAATTTCTCGCAGATAACGACGGCAAAACGTCAGAGTAGGCGTAGTAAATAGTTATGTTGAAATAGCTGGTTCTTCTTTTTTGTTTTTTTTCCCGGTGCGTGTTGTTTATGGTTTCGTTGGGCAGCTATTATTTATCTTTCGGAGCGGAGCACGTGCTCCCGTTGATAGGCTTGAATGGGGTTGAGTGTTTCGCTTTATGATTGGACTTTTACAGTTTTAAATCTAAGGATCGGCAACTCAATTAACATTTAAAGCCAACGGTATTATCATTTTATTTTACTGCCCCAAAACAGCTAAACAACAAACGAAGCCATCTGAACTATGGCAAAAATCTGAAAACGAAGCACTGGAAAATGGAGGGAAAAACATTTAACAGCTTTCCTTTCTTGTTCGTTTTCGGCGGGACCCACATCGTTTACATAGCCGAATGGCGCTTTAAACATTTTTTGTCTATTTCGGTTTTTTACGTTCCCTGGTTTTCCGTTCACGTCCGAAAGGCTCCACGCCTTTTTAGAGGCTCATTTGCACAAATTACTAGCATTGCGACAACGGCCAAGGAGGCAGCAGCAACAACAACAATGCAATTGTCTATGGCAACAAAACAGAAGGCAGAAGGAAAAGCCAAAGCCAAAGCCAAAGCCGAAGCCCAAGCCGCAGCCAAAGACTTAGCCAAAAGGTAGAGGCGGAGAAAAGCCCAAGAAGACATTGTCACCACATTCCGGCAACGGAAGCCAGCCGGCGGCCGGAGCAGATTGGCAATCGCCCCATGGGCCCATTTCCCCTGCCACTTCACCT